ACTTTCAAAATTGTATTTCTTTTATTTTAAAGTTATAACTCGCTTTTCATTTTAACTTTGCACCTCACTTGTAAAACAGGGCTTTAACCATGGTTTGCCTCTCGAAGTGTATGTGTACATAATTTCCACACTGGTAATTTCATCCAAAATGTAATCCACTTTTGTTAGCATTGGTTGAGTTTCATTGCTGTAGTATAAACAAGACTCTGTTAGCTCTGGAACTTTTACCACCATGTTCATTCAGTCAGCAAGTTGAACAGGCGTGGTGCTAGAAATGCTAGAAGTTAACGGAGTCTTTTCTACGCTTGGGCTGCCATAGACTCATAGAAGTGACCCTCATGATCATCTAGTCTGACCTCCTGCACATTGCAGGCCAAAGAACCTCACCCGCCCACTCCTGAAATAGACCCCTAATCTCTGGCTGAGTTACTGAAGTCCTCAAATTATTCTTTAAAGAGAAGTTACAGAGAATTCACCATTTACACTAGTTTAAACCTGCAAGTGACCCCATGCTGCAGAGGAAGGTGAAACCCCCCCAGAGTCTCTGCCAATCTGACCTGGTGGAAAATTCCTTTCCGACCCCAAATATGGAAATCAGTTAGACCTTGAGCATGTGAGAAAGACCCACCTGCCAGACACCTGGGAAAGAATTCTCTGTAGTAACTCAGAGCCCTCCCCATCTAGTGTCCCATTTCCAGCAGTTGGGGATTTTTTGCTGCTGGCAGCTGTCGATGGGCCACATGCCATTGTAGGCAGTCCCATCATACATCCCCTCCATAAACTTATCAAGGTCAGTCTTGAAGCCAGTTAGGTTTTATGACCCCATTTGCTCCACTTGGAAGGGTGTTGCTGAATCAGTTTTAACAACAGTGATCATTTTTGGATAAAGTTCCATGGAATAGATGTAGTTTATGTTTGTTCTGTTGTTTTTTTACATGTTTGAGAGAGAGCAGGATTTCTAGTCACCAGACATATTTTAACCTGACCTATCTGTTTGATAGACTTAACTGGCAAATCCTACAACTAGACCAACAACACAGTTAAAGGTCCCTTTAACAGGCAGTTCACAAGATTCCCTAATGTGAAATTCCAGTGGAATCACCTACATTTTAGATGGTGAAATATTTTGTGTTGAATGAACTGGAAAACACTGCATCTGTCCCATAGCATGTCTGTCAATAAATACAAAATGGATGTGGTGGAACTTTCAGGAGATACAGTATATGTACTTGCAACAGCACTATCAAAAAGTTATGGCTTTCCCATCCTCTAAATGCCCAGCTTTGCCCTTGGAGGGCAGCCTGGACAATTCCCATTAACTTCAATTGTAGCATGGAGTATACATCCAAGGGCAAAGTTTGGCCCTATTTCTAATCTTAGTTTAAATTATGGGTTTAAGTTATATACCGACAAGATGGTTACTGCTATCTTCATTTTGTTGTGAATTGACTAGTGGAGTCTAGGTCAGAGTTGCTACTTTTTCTTCTCCTTGGGGGACTGAATGATAAAATAGAATCCTGGATGCACATTTAAGACTGTCTACTTACATTAATTTAGTGCCACCTGTCAGACAGACCTGAACTCTAGTGCTACTCAGTACCATGCTTGAATGCTTGTTCATTGACAGACAGAAGCTATCAAAGGTTTATTTCTTTCAAGCGAGGAATAATTCAAGGAAAACTTTTCTTGAAAATATTTAATGAACATCAAGATTTTTTTTTAAATGTTTTCATTTGGCATTTGTAACCACTTAATTCATATGACATTTTTGGCTTATGATGTTTGTACTATGTAGCAGATCAAAACATAAACTGGAGGTTCAGCACAAATGTAAGACTGTGTGCAACTTTTGAATATCAGCCCAAAGAAGCACAAAGCATTGAGGACATCATTAAGGGCTTTTTTCTTTGACAGTGGGGACAAGAAAAGAATTCATACAGAAAACAAAACTAGAATTGTGCATCATGCTGCATTTAATACACATTTGAACAATGGAACTTAGATTTATCTCAAGAAAATTGTCTTTGAGATATTATACTTAAGAATATACACTGAAAAATACTTCCAAAAGACTGTTAAAACAAAAGAAATTGGTAATTTAACGTCTAAGTATGTTACATTTTGATTACCCAGCTATGGAAAATTGTAATGGTTCCCTATTAGGAAACTATATATTCCCTATGTATTATTTCCATTTTTTATGTAATGCAAAATATGTTACTCACCAACATGTGACAATAACAAATATTTTCTTTAAAAAATATATATGTGCTGTGTGGATATGTGGCTACAACTTGTAGTTTTTTATGCTAAGGCCTATTGAAGCCTTTTTTGAGGCAGAATTTGGAGTGCTATTTTCTACCATTTATAAAATCTTCATTAAGTCACTTTTAAATTCTATCTTTACCTCCACTTTAAAAATGAATATATAAAAGATTAGACTATGGTGTGGCAAAAAGGAAAAGAAATCTAACTCTGATAGAGATCTTGAACTAAAGGTGAAGGAAATAAGTAAGAGAAGGAACAATGGCAGAAGGCAAAAGTAAATCTGCAGTGATTATAGTGCTCAGGAGTAAGACTCCTTATTGAATCATAGAAATGTAAGACTGGAAGGGACATCAGTAGGTCATCTAGTCCAGTTCTCTGCATCCATGGCAGGACTATTATTTAGACCATCCCTGACAGATGTTTGTCTAACCTGCTCTTAAAAATTTCCATTGATGGAGATTCCACAACCTCCCTAGGTAATTTATTCCAGTGCTTAACCACCCTGACAGTTAAGAAGTTTTTCCTAATGTGCCCTTGCTGCAATTTAAGCCCATTGCTTCTTGTCCTATCCTCAGAGGTTAAGGAGAACAATTTTTCTCCCACCTCCTTGTAACAACCTTCTACATATTTGACGACTGTTATGTCCCGTTTTCTTTTCTCCAGACTAAACAAACCCATTTTTTTTCAATCTTCCCTCATAGCTCATGTTTTCTAGACCGTTAATCATTTTTGTTGCTCTCCTGTGGACTTTCTCCAATTTGCCCACATCTTTCCTGAAATGTGATGGCCAGAACTAGACACAATACTCAAGTTCAGGCCTAATCAGCGCGAGTAGAACAAAAGAATTACTTCTTGTGTCCTGCTTACAACACTCTTCTTAATGCATCCCAGAATGATGTTCACTTTTTTGCAACAGTGTTACACTGTTGATTTATATTTAGCTTGTGATCTACTATAACCCCCAGATCTCTTTCTCCTTCCTAAGCAGTCATTTCCTATTTTGTATGTTTGCAACTGTTTGTTCCTTCCTGAGTACTTTGCATTCGTCCTTACTGCATTTCATCCTATTTGTTTCGGACCATTCTTCATCTGGAATGGAGATGGAATCAGAGTAACAGGAATCAGTGAAATGCAAACATATTTAAAATGTCCCTGCAAGAAATTTGATAGCTTTTAACAATCTTTATTTAGGGCTGATAAACAACATAAGGAAATATAAGTAAGAGAAGGCAATGGACTTTTGGACATCCATCAAGGGTAACTTTACTGTACGGTTCAGAATGTTTTGCATGTAGATTTTCAGGCAAGAATTGTGGACAACTTTTCTATTGATAGTTGGAAACTGAGAAGTGAAATGGTTCTTTGTTGTGGTTTCAGAGTAGCAGCCGTGTTAGTCTGTATCCACAAAAAGAACAGGAGTACCTGTGGCACCTTAGAGACTAACAAATTTATTAGAGCATAAGCTTTCGTGGACTACAGCCCACTTCTTCGGATGCATACAGAGTGGAAAGGTGCCACAGGTACTCCTGTTCTTTTCTTTGTTGTGGTTTAGAATGACATTGATTTGAACAAGAGAAATGCAGAGCACAGGGGGGGGAAAGTAGGATTTTTTCAGATTTTCATCAGTGAAATGATGTGCTTCTGCCCTTAGACTGAAGCTATTGAGATACAATTTTGTGTCCTGTCAAACTAATGGTAACTCAGATTGCAGGTAGAAAATAAAGATTGAGAGTCAGTGCACAGCTAGTAGGATTGTGTGAAGGAAATAGCTCATTTGAAAAGCTGCTAGGTTCAGATGAAACTATAAAATGGAGAAAAAATGAAAAACTCATTCAGATTCCTCAGATAATATTGCAGTGTTGTGTTACATTCATTATCCTTTTCAAATAGTAACCACAGTATTAATAATAATAATAATCAAAAATGCATTCCTCAGAACAGGATACATGGTATGATCCTTCTTTCCCCTTTTTTGTGCAGATGATTTTTTTTTCTAAATTAGCTACATGCAGTGTTCCCCCTGTTGCATGATTTTGAAATTGGCTGTTATACAGTACCAGCCTGGCATGAAAGTGTCTCTGGGTTGGATGTTTTCAACACTTGAATGGGAAGTTTCAAGGAGATTTAAAAAAAATGCAAGAGGAAAAGGTTTTGCTAATTCAGTCAGTGTCATTCTTCCTTCTCAATAATAATAAATGTCTTAGCATGGCTTTAGTAGTTACTGTGCTGCTAGTGTGTAGTTTGTAACATTGGTTTGGACTCCTCAAGGTGAAAGTTTCATAATAAAGTATTATTAGTGTTGTCTTAGTTACCCAACGGCATTCAACTTGGTCACATGAATAAGATGTCCACTACCACATGGGCAAGATGATCTCTACTGCACTAACTTCTATATCAGTTTATTTTTTTAAATATAAAATAAGGTAACAAGACTGAGGTGTTCAAATTAGATTTCAAATGCCTGTTCTTTCTAGTGTGAATTTGTGCTGGTTTCTGTAATTCCATTTTATTGAGACCTTCATGGATGAAGGGACATATCACTATTTATTTTACTACTTTTATTCTATCCTATTCCTGTTTTATTTTTCAGTGACCCTCTTTGTCCCGACACCATCCACAAACAGAAACTAATCTATTGGGGTGTGTACAGCCTCCTATGGAGCTTTAAGACTTTGTGGTTTTATTCTTGAAAGTAAAGCTAATTTCACACTATTTCACCTCCCCTCCCCCAGGAAACTGAAGCAGCAGTTCAAGCTAAACAGCCGGATGTGGAAGGGGTTTTGTCTAAAGGGCATTATTTATATAAGGAAAAACCAGCCACTCATCCCGTAAAGGTAATGAAGCAACTTTTAGTAATATCCATTACCACATAATGGGTTCTGTTTCCCCTGCTGTACGCTTGTCCTTGATGTCATCTATTTAAAATCAGTGAAACAACTTGGAAAATAATATTGGCTCTGTTATACAACAGCACAGGCAGAAATAATGTTATGCTTACAGCCAGAATTATCTATGCACTGTGATGCTAAGTATTCCTTTCTGCATTGGTGTTCACCCACCTAGTCAAAAAAATAGTTCACCTTTAAAACATAACACTACAGTGTGTGCTTACCTCACCATTAACATAAGACTATTCTATTCCAAATGAGGCTTACAGGCCTCCTGTGGAAAAAGTTCTTTTATTTTTTGTAGAGGGAAGCGAGAGGCAGGCCAGAGAGGGTACTGTCTTCTAGATTTTTCCTACAGTAAGGGGAGGAGGATGAGACCAATTTAAACAACTCCTCTTCTACTGGCCTCTGGCAAAGCATGGCAGAATTGCCTTTGAAATATAATGTGTTTTGTTCTTGTTTGGAGGAGAGGGTATTTCATTAGGAAAGGCTGACTGCTGTCTTGTGGGAGCTCATTCTCAAATCGCTTTTCCCAGTATAGGTATCAGATTAAAGATTATATCAATAGAGTACTGAGGCAATAGGATAATTGTCTCTACCTACTGGATAGAGCAGGCCACCAGCATCCTCCCCATTACAGTCCAGCTATCTTTGGATTGGAAGATCAATGGGGCCACCACTCAAACATCACTGTCAAACATAGCCATCAAGCACAATCTTGTGACACAAGCTATTCCATGTCTGTTGTATTACTTATATTTTTGTATCTGACAACAAATTATCAGTGGATGCTATGATTAAATGTTCTTAAGAGCATCTAACAGTGGCTTATTGATCAGTCCAAATTTCTACTGCAATTGCCTCTTGCGATAGCAAGACTCATTCTTGTATTTAAAGCTTCTTCAAAACAGCACAGGTCAATAATGTTATTATACCAAAACTATTTGTCCTTGCAAACAAAGTTATTGTGACTTATATTCTCTGTAAGGTCACATACTTCCTTTTTTGTTCTGCAGCTTTTGCTTAGTTCCTGTGAAATGTATTTGCAGTTTATTTTTCTACCATTTATAAAATCTTCATTAAGTCACTTTTAAATTCTCTTTACCTTCACTTTAAAAATGAATATATTTTTATTTAATGATATTTTTGTTCCTTTTTTTCTTCTTTTTCTCCAAAGAAACCTTTGAGAACTGCTTTCTTTGTTGGTATTCCAGCTTTTATTAAAATGATCAATATTCTTTAATAGTTAAATTGGAGACCTTTAGAAAATAACCAAAAAGGTGAATTCAAGGTGATTTTAAGGTAGTGCCCTGATGAAAATGTGCAGCCACAAAGCTTTAGACTGTGTTATTCAGTTTTCTTGGCTTCAGAGGGGAACTATTATTATTAGGAATAGGCACATGTCACCTGTGCACGGAGTGGATGATGGAACAAAGGTCTCACTGTGATCATTGCATTTACACATTTAGTTTGACTGCAGTTATAATCTTAGAAGACCTTATGCCACATGTTAATAAGTAAGGTGAGAGCACCAATAGCAATAGACTACAAATGTGTGCTGCTGAAGATTTTAGTCCGCGTTAGTTCGTGAAACAAATATTTGGTATGTCCAAGAAGCATGCTTAATCTATCCATTTTATTTAGAGATGGCCAAACTGATTCCAGTAGTAGAATTCCTAGTGATATTTTTTTAATGGAATGAAATTACTGTATTAGATGTGGTGAATGCCAGGTGCTATTGTGTAATTCAAAGCAATATTGTCTCTTAAGCAGTAATTTTGAGGATGACATTATACAATGTGCCTGTGCGGAATACTTGCAAGTTAATAACTATTTGTGGAGTGTAGGGAATTTCACTTCTGATCCCCCTCTAATTGCATTTCACTTTTTTCATTACACTGCCATTCAGTTAATTGACCAACCTGTGAAGTTAATTTCTGTCTCAGTGACTATCTAGTATACAGTGAGTAATAGAAATGTGAACATACAATGTCAGAATGTGAAATTGCTTTTTTGATGTAGTTTTCCTAGGCTTTCACCCGTTTATATTGAGTGCCTCTTTGTGGTGGTTCTTATTGAGTAAATTCCAGTACCAATCACCGTTTGTAAGTCCCAAGAAAGTCTTTATAGCTAATGCAACAATTCCTTTCTCTGCAGCAAAGGTGCAGTTGAAATTATAATAACTTTATATCTCTTGCTTTAGATTACCCCCCCCCAAATACCTATGTTAAAAGAACATTATTAAGGTTACAAAATAACGCACTGAAAAGTTAGAAAATGTGATCATTCAGGTTGCCTGTGCTGCCTTAATTTGTCCCTCTAGTGCATATGCATTATGATAGTCTTTAATTGAATGACAACGTACTAATTTTTCCAAAGAGCCCCCTACTTCATTTTGGGATGTCAAAAAACATACCCCGTGCCTTTTTCAAGTCTTTGCTCCAAAGATTGGGAAGCACTAGAGCATTTCACATTCTGAGCAAAACAACATACTTCCAATTTATTGGAAGTAAATGAACCATTTTGGTTGAAATTTTCCCAAACAGTTCAGCTCGAGGTAGACACCTGATGTGGAGAATCTCAGCTCAAGTGGTTAATATTTGGCAAAGTTATAAGCAACTGAAAAGAGTCTTCTAATGTCAGGCAACTTTAATAAAAGGTGGTACTGCCAAGCACATCTGTAATACGTTAGGACTAAAGCTACTTTTTGAAATATAAATATTTTTGTTAAATATCAATGAACTTAAAGTGTAAATAGGATTAATATTAACATGTGGCATTCTGGTTTGGACAGGCATGTCAGAGGGTACTCCACCCCTATCTTTGAGGCAATTCACATGTGCCTCTCCCCTCATTTAAGTTAAATGAGTCTCTGAAATTTTACAGGATTTTTTTCAGCTGAAAAATAATTTAATCAAGATATCTGCATTACATTTCTCTCTCATCTAAACCACAATGGAAGTGAAGAATTGTATGGCATGAATTGCCCAAGAATAGGAAGCATAATCTCTTTTATATCCTGTTTGAAATGCATATAAAAAGTTATCACTATGGTGCAGTGAAACTAACACTACAGAGTAGCTAAATACTGAAAAGTAAGTGACCTTTCCCATCATTTTGTTTTGTCAATTTCAAAAGCTGCAACCCAGTTGCTTCACACCTACTTCAAGCTTTGTATATCTAAAAGGGCTTTCTTTCCCAATTTATTATTTTTGATATAATAATAAAAAAGATAAATCCCTACATTGCTTTCTACATTTGGCTGAAAGTTTATTCCCTCCCTCCCTCGCCCCCAACCACTGACACAAAATAATTGCTGAAGACAAGAGGGCTATTACAATCTGCCAGCCATCATTTCATCAGATAAGAGTTGCAAAATGACAGCATCATTAGTCATTTTCAGTTACAGTCAGTCACAGCCAGGGATGTTTTATTCTTCCAGTTGTTTTTTATTTTTTTAACTACCTAGATTAAACCTCACTTAAACCTACTTACCTTTTCAAACAAACACTGTTGCCAGAATCAGTGTTTGTATATTACCAAGGTATCTTCATCAATTCTTTAATGTCTAACTGCCTTCAAAATGACAGTCTAATGAATGTAGATTTGATCATTTAGATAGACAAGAATTTTTAAATGGAAAAGATAGGCTGTCAGTCCCAGATGAGCTGTGCTTTGATAAGATGGACAATGGAAATCTCCTATTGCCACAGTGCTTGTCTCTTTTCTTTTGCATGAATTCATGATAATAGAGCATTATATATAAACTGCAATGCTTATAAGGATCATGCTTTAGGTATCCTCAAACAGGGACTGAATTCTGATTTAGTAAGTGTGACCATCTGCTGGGGTTCCCAGGATTGTGAGTTACTGTGCTACCCCTCTCAGCCTCAGTAATTGAGAGTTTTGTTGCTGCTAAGCTATGTTTCAGCTCCCTAACACAGGAGCTTGTTTTCTCTTCCAGCAAACTCTTCCAGAGTCTGCCATTCCCCACCTTGCCTAGCAAGTAACAATGCGTGAACCCCAACTTTGGAGTACCTCAGATACCTCTCTGTTATATACCTCTCTCTGCAGTATCTAGCCTTCTCAGTGAACACTCGCAGAAGTTAAGTTTGCTGCTCCCTTAAAAAGACAATACCCAGCAGCTTAGTACCTTAACTGGGGTTAACAAGCACTCTGTTTTAATCAAAGCAGTGAATTGGTTTATAGTTAAAGTAAAACAAATTTATTAATCAAGAAGCAATAGGTTTAAGTGATACCAAATATAAGGAATAACGATAGAAAGGGTTATAAGCAAACAAAAGTAAAAATATGCTTCAAAGATTAAAACCTGATCTAACAAACTAGAGTTTCTTGTTCAAAGAAGTGTTTCTCCCCAAATCCCTTTTCCAGCAGACTTTCTGGCCAGGACCCTTCACAAAATTCAAATATGCCCTCTTGCTTAGTTTTGGACTTAGTCACAATCTAGCCCTCAGTGCTCAACCTTGTGCACACAGAATATAATATTATGCTACTTTAAAACACTCGTAAGACCCTTTAGTATATGTGTAATGTTAGAACAAGTCATGGTGTCACATAGTATGAAGGTCTTATTGGCTTTTGTTTGGGATGACCTAAATAACTTGCTTGTGGCTTCATTAGCAAAATGATGACCATCCCAAATTCCTCCAAATAAAACACACAAGTACGTATTACATACGTACATGTAACAAACATGAAATTGATCTGTCCTCTTCAAGAAGGTTAAGGAGCTATTTTTCCTTTCTCACCCTTGTCCGGGTATGATAAGTTATTGTCCCTCCTGTTAATACAAAATAGTTCCTGTTTCTAGACTTGTGGTGTTGGGCAGCTCCACAATATGAAAAAAACTGTGTACATGCAATGATAGAGAATATTATGCCTGAACATGAAATATAAGCAAACATGCTGTAGAAAAGGACCTCTCACTCTTTTAAAGTAACAGTACTGCAGACATCTTGTGTTCCTTCATGTAGCAAATGCTACCTCTTTTAAAAAATATTTACCAAATGAATAATATGCATACTTTCCTGTTCTAGAGAAAATTAGAAGACTTGAGTGCTGACTGGACAGCAGTAAACCATTTAATTCAAGCACTAAAGGGAAAGCCAGCTTCAGGAGCACCTGGACTTATCCCTTCTGGTTTCCGTAAGTGTTTCAGTATTGATACATTTTAAATGGGCTTACAAATGCAAATAAAAAAGTAGAAATATGTTGTGAAAATTAAGCCTGAGATTTTTAAAGCTGACCCCAAGGGATTTGGACACTAGCAGTATGGTATAAAACAAGAGACATGCTGGTTTTGAGTTTGGTTCATTTTTCACAGTTTTGTTTTTATATTGTATAATGTGTCCCAACTGCTAAGCTAACAAAGCCTAGCTTACCGTTGGCTTTTTAAAATATTATTCTTTACAAGCATTCTAGGAATTAGGGTGACTTTGGAAATTTCCATTTCATTGTCCTGGAAATACTTTTAATGCTTTCAGTGTCATAGGCTGGTAAAGAGGAGCATGCAGTGATGGGAGGGATTCATGGTGCAGTCAGAAGAAGGAAGATCTGAATAGTTATCTACGTGTTTTGTTTTTGTTTTCTTTATTTTTCTAAGTATTCTCTTTACGCTAGCCTTTTTTTGTGGATAATGTGTATCAAAAACAGATAGTAGAGAACCCCATGACCTCTAGCAGTAGCCATGATTCTCTAGCATACTAAAGCAGAAAAGCCTGATGTGCAGGAAAGTAAACAACTCCATCTTCTAAAGAGAACAAAAAACATCCACTTGATTTTTCAGGATTGAAACTAGTAAGATCAAGAGACAGTCCTGGCTCCACCAGAACATGGTCATTGGTACATCAGTTAAAACAATGCAGACATCTCTTTCATGACACTTAGAAACACACTAATTCAGAATTGTCACCTAGTTCAGTCACAGCTCTGGGGACAAACTTTCCAATTTCATTATAAGAAGTAAACACCACTAATGGTTTAAAAATGACTCTATGACACAAGGAAAGTGCCTTACATTGATTTTGTAGTGAGCTGTGAGGCAAGCCAGATAATCTCATTTAATGACATCGCAGAACTGAATATGGTGTGTAAGCATTTTTTTCCCGTGCTGGGCCACTAAACTCGCTGTGTCAGGTTTTGCATTCAGCTGGTTTTATCAGATTCATTTATTTTATGAGTTGTAAATTTGTTGTTACAACGGTAATGGAAAGAACAAGAAAAGAAAGAGGAGATGTCACAGAAGTACAGATCCCTACACTAACTCATTATCTTTAATCTCAGAATTGCAAAATTATGTATGTTCCTTACTTGCAGATGTATAATGTGAATTACCAGCACTTCTCAGTTTGAGATGAAAACATAAATGCAGAAAATGAAGGTATTGGGGTTTTATAAAGGATTGGGCAAGAACTAAGACTGAATTTCTTTTCAGTGCCAATAGCACTTATTTGAGATTATTTATTGTAATGCCACCATTTTAACTGTAATATCAGTTTTAGCTGTCATTTGCCTATTTCACGTGAAAATTCAGGTGATGGGATTCAGTTTGCTGATCATGCCATTGAGCAAGTCCTTTGAATTCACAAAGAAAACCCGGGTGAAGCCCATCCTAAAGGTGCTGTTTTTGGCAAAGACAGAAAATGGCACATGTTCACAAAGCTTCTTGTTCTGTACCTACTTCTGAAAATTTTTGAGAATAAAAGCCATGTTTCTCATGTACTATATTATTACAACTAATAAACTCTCTACGTTTGTATTTAAATCCAGCCTGCAGTTAGTTTCAAAATCCTCTGCTTAAGAGGGCTCTAAGTTGATCAAGAACTGCACTGTACTTTCATCCAGCATAATGGTACAGCTGCTCAGTAACTGCAGCCAGCTATTTTGGTTCCATCCTCACAGACTGCCTGCCTTCTGACCTCCTTTTACTTCTTAGTACTTCTCTTACTCTGTATCTACATTTATGAGGAAACTGTATTTTAAGACTATATTAAAATATGATTCTGAATAAATTGGGCAAAACTGTTAGAACTATTTTTAAAACACCTTTCCTTAGATACTACCTGTGCTACAATTTTTACTGTGCTGGGCTCTTCCGCACTGGCTCTTTAAGCAAAATTAGATTCCAATTTATCAAAACTCTATTTAAACCCAATTTTCAAACACTGTACTCTTGCATGTGTAGTTGGGTAAACATATATATTTTGAAGCTAATGTCCCTCCTTATGATCTTCTTGTATATTGCATACTAATAATTAAAAAAATCTGCAAAATGTATTGCTAGTTCCATACAGTTTCAACTAGCATAAAACACCAAGCATGATATCCTAGCCCTGTTGAGGTCAATGGGAGTTTGCTATTGAATTAGTGGATCCAGGATTTCACACTATATCTTCAGGTGAAACAAAGAAAAACTTACATATGAAAACTGACCTCCAGAGGAAAAAAAAACAAAGAATATATTCACTGTTGCACAGAGTGTTAACCACTACTGTACGAAGAGGCCTTAGTCACCCAGAAAACTAGATGAACCATAAAAGTGGAGCCCAGAATTAAGGATGGCACTCCATGGTGGTATGAAAAAGACTCTGTGAAGCAATGGCAATACTTCTTGTTGATTATTATATTCTGCAGAGACTTGTGTGACAGCCAGAATATAATGCTGTTCATATCTACATGTCAGATCAGAGAACAAAAAAATAAATAGCTGGCCTTGCTACATGTCAAGTGTCACTCTATCTAGTCTACTTACAGTGCTTTTGCCAGGGGGCCCTTAGTAAACATACCATCTTGTGTATCTCTCCTTGAGAGATGATGTGGTGGGGGTAGGGAACAGGATAGAATTACGTTTATAATTCTGTGGGTATGTGTGTAAGTGTTTCTTGGACACAGAGAAGGTACTACAAAGGTTGCTAATATCCCACTGGGCCAGTATGCCTTCAGGCATAATGAATAGAAGCCTACTTTTCCAGGTAGGAAAATGTACTTAGCTGAAGGGTATGTGAGACACCTCAGCTAAACTTGACTTCCCAGGGAAGATGATTCAAAAGGCAAATTGTGCCCACTGTCCATTAATAGTTGGAACATGAAATTATATGAACATTATTAACCACACACCTCTGTGCCTTACATAGCAAGTAGTATGAAAACTATTATAAACAGAGAGGGAAAATGCAGTGGTTGTTTAATGTGCTAATGCACCCTAGAGACAAATTTCAATATCTTTAAACACATTAATACATCATAATAAAAAAATAAATAATATCTTTGTACACATTAATACATTCATTCAAAAGTGCTACATTTGTATAATTGTAGGTATACTATATAAGGTAAGGTGTGTGTTTGGTAGCATGTTACACTGAGGTTTGTAGCACAATTTCAGTGTCCTATTTTCTTGCACTCATAGCTTTCATCCTTGTTAGATTATATTTTCCATGATTCATTTACATCCAGTGTGGATTTATTTTAGTAAGTTTGTTCAAAATTCCTTTGGTCACATTTTTGTTAAATAAGGACATCTGAAATTACAATTCCTTAAAACATTTTTTTAATATTGCACTTTGTCCGAGCTACAGCAAATTTTTAAAGGCAATGGAATATTGAAAACATAAATATCACACTTCTGTCTGAAAATGTTTTGCCTGATATTTTTGTAAGTCATGCCTATAATTAATGTAATTAAAATTAATTAAAATTATTTTTCTCTATTAATGTAGTTGACTTAATTCATGCATTTGACACTTTGTATACAGTTAGTTTCACTTTTTCCCTGAATATTTAGTTAGGCAGCTTGTTTCTGTGCGGATTTTAACAGGAAAAAAGCAAGCAAGAAAAAATAAAAATCTGATTGTAAAACCACAAATCAGTAGCAGGAGTACTTAGGATCAGGTATAATACTGAAATTACTTTTAACTCATTATTTTAAAATTAACTAGGTTTTGAGTTGGCGTCCCTTTAAAATTTTACATGTTAGCAGCTCTTAATTAAGATCATTGCTTTTGATGCACCTCAATTGCATACATACAAAATGGGAAATGACTGTCTAGGAAGGAATACTTCAGAAAGAGGTCTGGGGATCATACTGGATCAAAAGCTAAAAATGAGTCAACAATGTAACACTAAAAAAAAACAAAAAACCACAAACATCATTCTGGGATGTATTAGCGGTAGTGTTGTAAACAAGCCAGGGGAAGTAAGTCTTCTGCTCTACTTGCGCTGATTAGGCCTCAACTGGAGTATTGTGTCCAGCTCTGGGAGCCACATTTCAGAAAGATGTGGACAAACAGCAGAAAGTCCAGAGAAAAGCAACAAAAATGATTAAAGGTCTCAAAAACCTGAATCATGAGGGACAATTGAAAAAACTGTGCTTGTTTAGTCTGGAGAAGAGAAGACTGAGAGGGAACATAACAGTTTTCAAGTATATTAAAGTTTGTTACAAGGAGGAGGGTGAATTTTTCTTGTTATCCTCTGAGGATAGGATAAGAAGCAATGGGCTTAAATTTCAATTTCAATTTAAATGGGCAGTTTAGGACATTAGGAAAAATTTCCTGTCAGGATGGTTAAGTACTGGAATAACTTGCCTAGGGAGGTTGTAGAATCTCCATCATTGGAGATTTTTTAAGAGCAGGTTAGACAAACACCTGTCAGGGGTGGACAATAATACTTTGTCCTGCCATAAGTGCAGGGGACTGGACTAGATGACCTCTCAAGGTCCCTTCCAGTCCTAAGATTCTATGATAGGTTTGAAAAAAGTGGTTTTCGTTTGAAAAAAAAACCAACCAAACAAAAACCTTAGGCTTATCTTAAAATTATGCAGTACAGTACAAAATGTAATGGGGACTAGAAGTGTACAGTTGGGGAAAAAAACACTACAACATACATGTCCAGTTCAGGAAGTAGTAACATTTAACCTGTTTGTTGTGATGTTGTAGTTGTGTTGGTGCCAGGATATTAGAGAGGTAAGATAGGTGGGGTAACATCTTTTACTAGCCTGACTTCTGTTTGTGAAAGAGACATGCTCTTGAGCCACACAGAGCTCTTCTTCAGGTCTAGAAAAGGTACTCAGAGGATCACAGCCAAATACAAGATGGAACAGATTGTTTAGCATAAGTAGTTAACATGTACTGTAAAAGACCAGTCAAGGT